TGAAAATATCATTTTTATATGTTTTTGTTTGAAAATGCACCAAATCAACTCAATAATTTATAAATCTTCTTGGGAAAACCCTTTTCAGAAGCTTGAGACTATGAGGGAGCTGCGGTGGCTCAGTGAGTTAGACGCTTGCTCGCTAACCCGAAGGTGTTGCTCGTCTTCATTAGCCCACATGGTGTAGAAAAGTAGGACGTAAAAATCCATTCATTTCATTTCATTTTTGAGACTATGACACCTCCACAGAGTTGCTGCACTTTGAATTCAGTCCCCCCATTGAGTCAGTCTACCCCCTAATTGTACCACAGGTCTCTTAATTAATTATTGATTGAGAAGTTGCAGTCGACAAATGCACTTCTGCCTTCTCTGGTCAAACTGTTCAATGACAAAGGTGCCAAAAGGATGCAGGAATGATAAAAAAATTGTACTGTATAATTGCTAATATAGTGTGCAGCCCCCTTTTTACCCGGAATATTTGGAAAAATATCTGTCACCATTGGCAATCCCTATTTGTTGTAAAAAAAAAAACGCACACTATACAAGCAAATTTGTGTTAAGTTTCATGTATTTAGTGATGTCAAATTGAAAACTATATATTTGTTGTGTATTATTAAAGGTAAAATTAAGAAGCCAGATAGCCACTGAACAAGAAAAATTATTAGGTGAAAAAGACCAAGAACTAGAAAAATTACGTCAAGATTTAGCTGGTACAAAAGATACTCTGAAAACTAGACAAGATGAGGTAAAGCATTTCATATCACTAGGCTTGTCAAGATGAAATCTTCTCATAAAAAAACAATTCATTTGATTACATTCAACTTTTCTTTTAAAAGGCTTATTTTTTTATTTCTAAAGCTAAAAGTCTACTGCAGACAAGAAGAACTAGCTGAGCTGCCTGCCTTGAGTGGTGGGGAACTCAGCTGTTTGCTCAGTCTGTGCTGAATTTTTAGTGATATTTTTGCCTCAAGAAACTCGCCATTTACTTTGCTGGCAACTGAGCTAGAAAAAGTTACTAACCAATAAAAATGTGTTGACAGATCATGTGGTATCGACATGGCAACCACCTGATGACCTCAGGAATGATGCTGTGGAAAAAGTAATGGGAAAGCTACCTCAGGTTCTATTATGAATCAAGGTTATGTAATTTTTGTAGTAAGAACTGAAAAGCTTTTCTTTTTTCATTTTTTCTTTGGATTTATGAGAATTTTTTTAGTTATATAGTCTGTTCTGTAATTTTGAGAAATAATATTATTGTAAGAAATGCTGATATTTTGTAGAATGAGAAATTAAACAGTAATTTAGAAAGTACAACTCAGAAATTAGAAGAAAGTAGACAATTGTTAAAAACTAATGAAAATGGTGAGTTTTTCTGATATTGGTAATTAGGACTTGCAACCAGTCGAAATTTTAGCTTCAAATCCATGTGTGTCTAGAAATATTCGCTTTTAACTGTCTTCATACATGTGTACAGGTCAAGAAAAAAAATCTGGATATTTGCCTTGAAAAATCTGGAGATTTGGTGAAAAGTCGGGAGATTTTTCCATAGCGCGTAAATTCATGATTTTGAAACTCCAAATTGATTATTATTTTTCTTAGATAAGCATTAAGCCTTGTAAATTAATTTAAGTGATCATAGGCCTACATATGACATTAATATGACATATTAACTTAATTAAAATTAACAAATCTATAATAGAGATAGGCCTACTCAGGCAAAATAACTTGTCTTTTCTTGAGACTCTGCCATATATAGAAAATTCACAACGACATATAAGAGGAGAAAGAGAAATTTGGAGTTTGAGGCAATTTGAAGGGATTATTCTAGTACTTACGAAGACTATTTACATATATTCAAGACCCAGATTGACCCTTGAAAATGACAAACCATGGCCTTCGATGATATTTTGAGGGTAACTGTTTATGTGGTATTGGTTATAATATATTTGATAGAAGTATTTTTATTAAAGTATGATATATGATATTTTCAGTTATCCAATGGTTAAATAAACAAATTAATGAACAACAAGTAAATCATAATAGAGTAGGAACGTTTGAAATGCCATCAGCTGTCACTAATAACAGACATAATGTAGGCAATGTAGTGGTAAGTTCTATTACCTTAATTCATGAAGGCAAGACTAACATATACCCATGTCAACTCTTTATCATCAGATTAAAGTCAACAACTGTATAAAGCATTTCCTACAAGACTGCAAGCAAAATAAAAAATTTGGGTGTATACAAGACGTGCTATAGAAGTTCCGGGACTGGTGTCACAACAGATTTATTTTGAATCCAAACTGCAATCTCCCTGGAGTCTTACACACTTTTGAGATAACACCTTACCATCCTTCGTTGCCACATTTGCATGCACTCTTTTTCTTGAATCCTACACAGCACCACACTTGATGAATTAAGCCACTTGATGTCGTAAAGGGGTCCCTTTAGCACAGAGCCGCATAAGGCATGTAGGGAGATTACAACAACACATTCAGGTTCTTCTCGACTATGAGTTGTCAGATTGTCGGCATTATGAGGAGAAGCCTTGTCATGGTGAAGCAGCCACGAACATCTGTCTCGCCTATTCTCGCATTGGGGAAAAAACACTGCAAAGAGCTGAGATCACAGTTATATACTGTAAGTTTCTCATATTAAAGAACATTGGATTTTCATGCAAATTTTGAATACAATCATAAATATAGGGCATTTTATTTTATCTAGCACAATTACAGTACATCAAGTTATGGATCAAGTCTACAACATGGTGATGGTCATTTACATAATAGTAATGTTATCATACCAAGAATGTTACCAAATCAACATAGACAACCACAGGTAAATCAATAGATTGATGACATAGACCAAAGTGCTTATATTTTGATGAATGTTATTATCCTTGCCTTATCCTAATCCTTTGGTAAAGTTTATGTCAAATTTGGAAACCGTTCATAACTTCCAAAACTAACTGTTTGATTGAAAATTGATATGACACACATAGATTTGAAAGCTCAAATTTAGACGGTGAGCTGTGAACACTATTACTGATGTTTTAGGTTCATTATATGGCTGGAGGTGGAGGAGCAGGAATTAGAAAGAGTGCCATACCAACATCATTATCTAATATAAGACAAGCCCCACCCCCACCAATACCAGAAGAAATTAGACCAAATCATTCTCAAAATTCACCAGCTTCCTTACATTCTAATGATAAAGAAAAGTAAGTTATTTTCATGGGCATCAAATTTTTGAATTTGTCTTCAGAACTAAACATAATGGGGGGCGCTCAATCTGAACGTTTGGGATTTATGGAATCTACAGAATGTTCCATAAAACAAGTTGGAACAGAATTCAGATTGCATTCCATGTGTGCTAAAAAAAATGGGTGCAAACAGAAAACAAAATGGCGTAGAAGGAAATAGATTGGAAAATTTTAAGTGTGACTATCTGCTCTCATCCCTTTCAATTAGGGGCAGAATTGGAACAGACGAACCTGTCGAGCGCCACCATTTTTTCAAAACAAATAGATTTTAATCAACATTTTTGGATTTTTACTACTAATTGTATCATTTATGAGTCCACACCAAAGTGTGTAGACAAGTAAAACTCTTTCATAAGGTACATTTTTGATAAGATTATATAAGATATTTGATTTGAATTTTGAATAATTTGGTTTTTTTTTCTTTCAGCAATCCACCTATAGATTTGAAATATTTTCAGAAAAGAGATGATGCTATTCCAGTACGTGGTTTATTAAATCACAGTAGTTCTCCACCACCGATTGGTTCACCTGTTAATACACCACCAATATCAACTACCATTAGTACTCGTATACCACAGCAATTAGTCATACCTAAAACATCCACGCCACCTTTAGCTTCAGCTTATTTTGGACAAATAAGACCGTCAACTTGATCATGTGAAAATATCATACAAAGAAATTTTGGCAAAAAAATACAAATCTGTACATTCAGATATTTTGAGCAGAAATTCAGAGTTATTTCTGGATAGCTTGAATGTTGAATAGCACTACACCCAAATCAAGGGAAAAATTTGGAACAAGACATACAATCAAACATACATCAAATCTCTACAAGTGATTGCCAGTGCTTCACCATGATTTACTCCAGAGCTGTACAATTAATATAATAGCATGTTAATACAGATATCTTATCCCAGCTGATCAAGTTCATCAAAAGACAGTTCTAATGATTTCCTATGCATGCAAATTTAAAGATAATATTTTCTGAGATTTTTCTTCATATACTTGAGCCTGTGTATATTGACTTTTAATCGTGTTAAGTTAGATGGATGTGTTGAGTTTCAGCATTGAACATTTTAAAGCTACGATTACATGTGTAGGCAAACTCAATAAAAATTGGACCACAGCAAATTCTATCCAAATCCAAGTTGCGCTTAAGGTTAAAATATAGTGAAATATGTGCATGTGTGACTTCACTTTGTGTTCAACAACAATTAAATACAAGTTCATGAAATATAATAACTTTATTTGTAATAAGTTTAATAATTATTTTCACCTCAAACAACTACCATTATCATGCCAGTGTCATCAATATAAGAAATTTTGAAGAGCTGTGGGGTTCAATGAACATAACGCTTTTTTGTTTATCTAGAGGTCCAGGGTTCTACTTAGGATTTTGCAACAGGCTTTACTCATGTCAGAGATGCATGACAACTCATTGCTTAGAAAGGACAATAAACCAATGTTCTTCTTCATTAAAGGATCTTTTAAAGAGAAACCAACATGGAACTCAATATCGCCTGTCTTTTAAGGGATTGAAAAACTTTTATGGGCTTTGAATTGTTGAGCAGTACAAATTTTTTATTTTTTTTTTTTACATTAGTGTTCAAACTGATGTTCCAGCAAAACTAGCCATGACTGTATTTGGTATATGTAAAACCATTGACTTATCTCGCAATACACCTGTCCTCCTCATTGTTGGAAGTAATTGTATAAATTGCAAATAGTGTAAAACATAGACGTTCATAATAGACTTTATTCTTCAGTCACTACATAAAAAATACATAACAAATTACAAACTATTAAGCAAGTTGTACATTCTAAAATTATTTGTAAGAAGAAATGAAAACATGATTCATGTAAGTAAAGTCTGACAGGATCGTGTCCAAACCACACCCCCATTCCTCTACACTTCTTAATACTTCCTTAATGATACAATGGACAAAGATATTCTGAACTTTTGCTAGTGATTCCTTACAACATAAAATATTATTTTCACTTTTTAGCAGTGGTAATGGACCATGAGTTCCAATTGAACTAGCCTTAAAATAAAATCAATTGAACAGAATTTTGATTGAATTATCCTTCAACATTCTTTCTTATCCTGAGCAAATTTCATGCTCTGAAACTATATTACAAATGTAGAATAAAAACAGTCCTATTGTTAAAATCAGCTAGGAATATGAAAGTTACATTAACATTGCAACAAATACTATGACATAAGCTGGCCTATTGAAATTCAAGCTATTAAAGGGATTGTTAAGAGGTTTTCTAAAATTTTCATGTGGTCAAGGACACATACCATCAATTTGCATCATTCCCATTTTCAGTAAGACGTCTGTGGTTTGTACAATTTCACTAAAACTAAGTGTTTGATGATGTCACTAATCACAATATATGCATTATCACATAAGCCCCTTCGCGATTAGTGATGTCATAAAGCGCTTAATTTTACGGGGATTGCAGGAACCATAGACACAGAATGGTACCACAACTTAGAAAATTACTTTACAATCCCTTGTATATAATATTCACAACTTGTAATATTTAAAGATGATAAATGAACCATGATAAAATGAATATTAGAAGAAATACAAATATATACATACTGACTTGGAGAAGAAACAAGATTGAGATTTTTGTCCACAAACTTGTCATTTTGAAAAGATATTTTGTAATGATTATAAATGTATTATTAATTTCTTCCCAATTAACTACAGGCTTTCAGAGAGTCCACAGAGCTAATTATAAAAATGAATACTGTTGAACAAGAGATCTGTATTTTGGTAGTTGTCCCTGTCCAGGCAGGCAGGATATGCTCACTTTTCCAGCCCACTCAATGTAACTATAAGTCTTAATTGTTTGCCAATGCAGCATCTCTTTTTCAAAAGCTTAAATAAGTACAATATTCTTCATCAATGTCATACTTTTATAATATTGTAACTAAGCACCTAATCCGCATTATAAATAGGGAGATATTTAAGATCTAAGAGAACAGAATTGTTGAAAGACCTCTAGAATATGTATATCAATATTACTGGTAAATAGTAACTCTTCTAATGTCATAACATATTTATAGACCAGAGTATGGTGCTGAAATAAAACAATACAATTTGATTAGATATTATCATGGTAGACCTATTGGCTTTGTATAGTACTTCCAGCATTTTCAGAAAACGGTTTTTGAGTACATAGACAATAAGGCATTTGTCATTTTTTACTTTAGAAATTGCTAACCCTACATATTTACATAGGGTTTTCTGATCAACATCAAAACAAGTTGATGACCAAAATCTACACTTTGGAAATAACCCTACTTATCTTTTACCTTGAAAAAACAAAATTTAGGAGATATATGGGGACTTTGTACAAATCTAAAGGGTAGTTTGTTTCCAAAATAGCAACAGGTATGGAATTGGAAATTTGTGGTAAAACATAAAATTGAAAATCAGAACTTCACAGCTTATCATATACTTGAAAAAGATAATGGCCCTTAATTGCAAGTGATGCACCATCAAAATCATTGTTCTGGGTACAAACTTTACAATTTGTATAAGATGCGAAATATAATACCTGTAAAAAGACTTGTTGTAATCTTTCTATAACCCATTTATACCACGCTGTATTATAATCTATACCTTCTGATTCACAACGAGCTAAATGTTCTGTTAGTAAAATAATAAACCTCTACAATATAAAATGAAACATATTCATAATTACTGTTAACATGATTGTATCAACTATTGTCTTTAATAACTCAATGAGTTGCTGAAAAAATGGGTGTAAAACTCCATTTCATCTGGATATGACTCATTTAATAGATGGGACGAGGTGCACTTTATCCAGGGTTGTTTATTTATTTTTTTGTCAGTCGGACATTTTTCAACGACATGTGAAATTTGATCACAATTTCAACTTGAGAGAAGGTCTACTATACCATGTTCTACAGCATCGGTATTGTCATGATGTTTGGCAAAAGACAGGTCAACTGTGTCATTTAACCAACAGTTCTACTTTATCACTAATTATCCAATGCTGGTACTCTTATATTATACATCCAGTTTAAGTTTTGTGATTGTGTTCATATTAAACAAAACAAAACGTAAAAATGGCAATGTGTAAAGATGTTATTGGCTTGTCAGACATGTTCATCATCACTATGGATGGTTGATAGAGAGACTAAAGTTACCTGAAATATGATGAGAAATAAACTTTTCTGTTGACTAATGGCTGATTCCAATTTCTCCTCCATTCTATCGATCATTTCTGTTGTAGGAATATCTTCATCATAACCATCCATATCTAATCCATCTGCTGCCTAAAATAGACCCACAAGTTTTTGACTACCACTGTCATTTGGAAATTACAGGGAATTGGGTTGATGTTTTTGGAGGCGTTTGATTGGTTAGTTCTGAACAATTTTTGTTTGTTTCCATTCTGCCCATAATCAAACTGTATGGAATCAGATTTTGTCACGAAGTTTCCTTCTATTCCTTTCTGCCATTGTGAATTATCTGCACCTACTAATTTTTCAGCACACGAGGAAAGCGTTTTGAACTCTGTACCAACTTGTTCCTGGCAATATGCAAATGAAGAAAAACCTACCCTACGTCTTTGAGCATCTAATCTATCTCTGCCTTCATCCACTTCTTTCTGTAGTTTATCTACTTGTTTACTCATTTTCTTGATAGTACTGTGCATTATCTCCCATAAATAACCACTAAAACATACAAAACAGTCAATCCATAAATTCCAATAAACCAGCAAGGCAAATTTGGAGGCAATTTGACAGAAATAAAAATTAAAAGTATCTGGTTTGGGGAAAATAATTAAAATGGTGGAATGTGATTTGGAGCACTGTAAATGTAAACAATAAAAACAATTACCGTTGTTTCCTTATTCTTGGACTTTGGTTGAAATGAAATGATTGAAGATTTAGGTCCTACTCTTCTGCACCTAATAGGGCTAATGAAAAAAGGGGGCAGAGGGCAATCAATGAGGGAAATGTTGCCAAGACAATGGCATTGGCCTACCATTTATCGTTTTCAAACTGTCAACGAATCTTTAATGTGTACAGACTGATATTTGAAAAAAAGGTGGTTAATAGGAGCCGACCTGATTTATAAACTCGTGAATATTGCTTGTATAGTCTCGACTATATCGCACAAGATTTGGATTTGCAAGAAAATTGTAAACACCTTTTTTACGACAGGTATCGAATGAGGCATTATGTTATATTACTAGTTGTTATAAGTTACCTACCTAATGAAGTCTTGTTTCATTGAATCTGAGAATAACCAATTAGCTACTGCAGAACATTCTACTATTTGTGTACGTAATAATTTATCAACTAATACTACTAACATCTGTAATAATAAATTTAAAAAAAAAAATTACTCAATCAAAACAATTGATTCTGATTTGAGCAACTATGTCTTAAAATCTCAAGATAATGATACAATTGCCAGTTAAGTTCAATTGCTTACTGCTCACATAACTTTGAGGTTAAATATTTTGTTTTTATGTGTCTGCAGTAATGAAATTATCAATAAGAAAAGACCATATTATAGGGATTTTAAAGAAGTTTTCTAAAATATTTTTTTTTGTTTTAGTGGAATGGCGTACAAACACATCTGCTTGAAATCAGAATGTTGCTAATTGATGCTATTAGTTTATTTGATGCCCATAAAAAATTTAGAAAACCTCTTAAATCCCTTTTAAGAATTTGTCTAAGAAATGCAGTAGGTGGTAATACATGTATGTTTATAAGAATAAAAATTGTCTTACTTGTTGATGAGATTTCCATACTGAGTACAATGTTTTTAATAAATAAATTTGACTTTCTTCTGTTTCAGCCAGAGATTTTAATAATGGATGAAATCTGAAATTGTTTACAATTCAATTTCAATTGCGAAAAATTTTATTGAACTTTTTGAAGATGCTAACACCATGCAGTGTGCAAAGAAGGAAATTTTGCCAGGACAGCAGCAGCCTCCTCATTTTCGTTTTCCAACTGTCAAGAACACAGCTTGTAGAACACAGGGCCTCAGTTTATTTATTTATGTGTCACTGACAGGGGGAAACCAGGTTGAAAAATACAAAGGTATTATCTCAACATTTGCTGGGATCGAACCCTGGACCTTCAGATTTCAAAACATTGCACCAAGTGGCAAACTTCATTATCAATATCATCAATCAAATAAACTTACTTGGCAAGAGCGGCAAATGAATGACTAAATGATTTACTACCAAGATACAACAGAGTGGAGACAAATACATCAATCTTTAATGGATTAAATGATAAATCATCTGAAATATAAAATAAATTTGTCATAGAGGCTGAAAGCTGGCACTGGGCCAAATTTTGGAAGCACTGGTTGTTGAATCATATATTTTTTTTCACACTGAGGAGGATTTGGACCTACAGTGACCATGGGCTTAGCAGACGATCATCTTACAACTGAGCTATTCCCTGCTACAAGTTAATTAGTGTTCAGGTGCGGCACCCGAGAGGTCTTGGTCAGAGATTTTTGTCTCAAATTTTGAGAAAAACTACCTTGCGCCCGTTCTTCCACGTCAAGATTATTGTGTTGCCGAGACGCCAACAGGATTTATAATATCAAACAAGTTTGATAATTGTCTCTGATAGTTTTATCATCTGCAAGACAGACCATCATCATCCAATTAGATTCATTTTCCTTTCAATTGCATGCTCTGCACATGATTATTGACAAGGTGAAAAACAACCAACTGGAGATTTTTGTCTCTTCATGTGCCCGTGCCAGTTGTGGAAACTCAAGACAAGACTCTAATTGGCGACAAAAGTCTCCAGCCAAGACCGCTCGTGTTATTTTTCATTGTCTATAGTTGATCATTGAGTAAACATATGACAAGAAAATCCCATGTATTTCTTCTGGCTACTGATTGAAGATCACCTTGAATAATACTGGTGGTCATTCTTACAAGTTTGACTGTATATGATTACATTGCACTATCATCCTTTTATTCATAAAATATTAATTAACTTACTATCATCACTCATGTCACTTGGTAATTCTTTTAATATTTGAGCTGCTTCTTCTGGGGTACATTTAGATTTTATAGCTGACATTAAAGCATGTGCTTTCATTGTACCTGGTAAACTTCCTAAAATCGACAAAATGGTGTTAAGCTTCTGACAAGAGACTTTTTGTTTATGAAATCATCCCTCGACACAGTTTAAAACTCAAAATGGAGCAGGCTTAGGCCTCTGTCTACCTCAAATTTCCCTTTTTGCTCACTCTATGGTGTTGGAAGTATTCAATAGCCCACTGATTTGCTGAAGAGTAGTAAATTTCAATCAAACATTCTTGTCACAGTGCTCACAGAAAAGCATGTGTTCTTGCATCTTCACAATGTCAAGATTTTACATTTCTTATACCTTGACTGCAATAGTCACCTTCTTGTATCATGGAAGTTTGCAAATAAAGCAATTTGATTGGATTATATGCTAGCGAATACAGTCAATCAGAGGCCTTGAAATGTACGAAGTTCGTAATAGCTTGAGATTGTGATGTCACTCTCCACCGTTATTTACATTCAAAGCTGTAGTAATGACATGACATGCTTTATATTAGTTAATATGTGCATATGAGAATTGTTAAAAATGTCCTGGAAACACGAGTTCATATTTGTATTTTTTTTCTGCAAAGTGATACAGATAGTTGAAATTAGAAACATTGAGCTATATATAAAATCAAGATATTACCTGCTCCTTCCTGTTCATATTTATAACATGGTTGAGGTTTTAATGGTAATAAACAATGGAATGATTCTGGAACTGATTCCATTACTCGTTGATGATAAGAAAGTCTGAAATAAAAATAATGTTATCATTGTAATTCAAGGGACATCATTCATCAATTAACATCTCATATAGCTGTTTCACCAAAAACCAAAATATGTGTACAAATATTTTTTATCTTTTTTACTACGATTCACTCATCTTGAATTTACTTTTTGGTTGCTAAATAAATCATTTTTTGAAAAAAAGTTACATTTTCTCCACTCTACCTGTTAACAAGTAGCAATCTCTTCCACAACGGTCCCTTCAGCACGTAACATACGTATTTACTGGGTTTCTCAACTGAATTTTTCAGATTATTGATCAATAGTCTGTCATCAATAAAAAAACATACCGTAATATTTTATGAAGAACTTCGTGAACAAATCTTGGTTTAGGGTTATTAGGATCCTGTTCTAAACAGACAGACCAATCATCCCAACTCCATCTAAATTGAAACATACTCAAATGATACGAAAACCAATTCACAAATCTGAAAAAATATAAAAACAAAAGTAAAATATTTATAGTATATTGTTGTGTAAATATTAAATTCACTAGCTGAAAGATTTCTGTTTTAGATAATTTTTTGAAATGTTAGGCTTTTGTTATAGGGGTCTCATATCATTGGTCCAGACTTAAGTAGTAGCCTGGAGAGTGAGGAAATGTAAATGGCAATTATAATTGTACTGATATGTTCGTTATTCAAATCTAAGCCACATTTGAACTGTGCATCAATGAAAAATCAAGTATTTGAATATACACAACACTCACCTTTCAATACAAATTGTATGCATAGTGTCAATTCTTTCAAATAACATCTCTGTTGCTTGAGCCAGCTATATTAAGTTAAGAAAGAAGTTTTTCCATTTTGACTGGATTGAATAAATGTTGAAATTCAACCTTATTTCCGAACCAATATCATGTTTTTTATTTTTTTTTATAAAAAAAGCGATATTACTAACGATACAAATTGGTGATACCGGAATATCGCCTAGCCCTACCAAACTTTCATTCTGTTTTTCATTAGCTTTTATTTCAAAGACTCTATTCAGCCATTTTTTCTGTGCTTCTAATGACATTGAAAAGGATACAACTTGAGGCATAGTACTGGGTTGTAATTTACATAATTCTATCAATAATACACCATAAAATAACTCTAAATGTCTTTCTTTAGGTAAGTTAAATAATTCAGCAAATAATGTCTGAAAGAATAAGGTAGTTTACCATTAAAATCAAAAATTCAATAAAAATTCAACTGTGAATATTGATCATGTCTTTCAGCTCTGACCATGCTCAACAGTTAACGGGTTAAAGGAATACTACCTCTTAGGATGACCAAACAATTGAAATTTTTAAACTTGATTAAAATGAGTCTTTGTTCGTCAGTGGACTTACCTGGTGTCATAATTATACAACAGAATCCCTCTATAATCCAATAAATCCATTAAACTAAGCAATAGTTCAATAAACTAAGTAATTTTGAAAAATGGTTAGAATCATATTTCAATAATTATTTAGTTTAATGGATATATCGTCTTATATAGAGATTCTATTCTTTAGTCATGACACCTGTAAGTCTAACTGATGAATATATACACTTATTTACCAATTTGCAACTTTAAATTTTATGTACATTCTAAGAGGTAGTATTTCTTTAATAGGTGGTTACTCTTACTCTCAAAAAATAAATCAACTCACCTCAATAATGATATAGTTCAATGGAAGTTTATTTTTGGTTGGAAAACTTAACAAAGCTGCAGCACTGAAAAAAATATTAACATTTAACAACAAGTCTATTTATAAGGATTGAACCAAAATATACTGTAACTCTTTTTAAATTTTTCAGATGATTACTCAAATATCAATATGAATAGTTATCAAGAAATATTAAAACAGAACCTGAAACATGTTGTTACTCAGAGTTTCATTTCAGCCTACGTCCCAACTGAAGTTTAACAAGTAGTTCTCATGTCTGTACTTTGAAATTGGATTGTTTGTTAAAAGACGTGTGCTTTTCTGATATATATTTTGATAATTCAATTAATTCTAGCCCAATTCTTATATTATCCATACTGGGGAAGAAGACAATGAAATTCTGCTACATACCATTCCTTTCTTTCAAGAAAGTTAGAATCTATAATCTTCTGAAGATGTTCTTCTATTAAATATCTTTCAATAGCATGACTTCCTGGTAAGACTGTTCCCTACATGACAACACGGTTTTTAAATTGTTTGTATAAAAAAAACGTGTTTATATATATCATAGTTACATCTAATTAAAATTTGGTAACAATTTTCTTTCTTTTCTTTTTTCTTGATATTTGTCTGCATTGTAATCTAACAAAATTTCTACAGCAAGTCAAGTTTTTTTTAACCAATCAAAGCATGTCATCTAAAACCCGCTTCTTAACATAACAATTTGTAGGATAGTGAAACCAAAAGTAGAGCAATAAGACAGCCTTTTTGGATATTTGGCATTAGAGAGTTGTTATTAAATTTCGCTTCTGACAGACATTGAATGGGTAACATAACCTTGATGTCCTGTATAGGATATTGATCATTGGACATTTGAGCTGCCCTGATGGCCATGTCCGGCAAAATGAGCCATATCAACAGCTCCTCTTATTGCCATTTTTTTTTTTTGATTTGGTGATAGACAAAGAAAATGGGGCTAGAATAAAGCTAACTTACTCAACAGGAGTAGATTCTTACCTCTGGTACATCAGTATAATCAAAGATTCTAAACACAACCATAGGTAGGGGGTATTTGATTTCATCGTTATGTGATGGTGGTATTATTTGGGGTAATGTATGTTGTAGGGCATCACATAATACACTGTCAAAAGCATTATATGGTCTTGATATCTGTTTCTCCATCCATTTGTTATTTCGTAGATTTTTAATTTGTGCCCATAAACAATCTAAATACTGAAAAAAAACGTTGTCATGTCATATCATTATCAAGCATAAAAACTTATTTTATACCAATTTAACTTTTGTTGCCTTGTATGGATGTAGAAAAAAAGAAAAAAAATGTCTACAGAATCAACAAAATGGCCTTTGACATCATACTCTGTCAACATAACTAGTTCATGGGGGTTGCCATTTTGTATATATGTATATACTTCATTCGAACGGTTTCTTGTGTTTGTAGAAAAAAAAAAAGGAAAAAATCAAATATCTACCTCTTCTTGTGGGTGTGGATCATCTGACGACCAGACTCGTAATGAAGGTACATGAATATGATGTCTTTTACTAAAAATAAAAAATACAAGTCCTTTTCTAGAATTCCAGGTTGATTATCTATTTGAAACAAATAGAGCATCATTATTGTTATAGATACCCCCTCTGTATAAGGTTTTATAACTGATGCTCTCTTATAGAAGCACTGGCCTAGGTCACAAGTAGGGACTGTGGATTTCAGCATTACACTACAACAATGTGATAAGAAATTACCTACTTCTGGAAAGATTTACAAGATAAACAAATAATTCAGAAATGCAAAGTGATTGTTTCAGGGAGTTAATGAAAGGGGATCTAATCTACCATGGACAAGAACATTACTCAGATTTTTATTTCTTTTAGTAAAGATGTTAGGGAATTCTTGATAAAAACGTTTGAAAAAAATCACAGAGGCAATATAATTCATAAACTTTCTTTTAATAATGAACAACATTCATACTGAATCTCAAGAAATAGTAGATTCTAGTCGTTGTATAAGATATGAAGGTTGTTCACAATAAACTAACTTGAACTAAAAACAGGAAATTTCTGAAAAATCTACAGTATATATTTACCTGATATAATTTTCTATTGTCTGTAATAACTTATTCAATTCTTGTTCTTTCTTCTCAAATAGTTCTCTTCCAACCTACAATCATTTAAAAACAAGTTGAAAAATAACCATTCATAATATAAATACATATATACCAAAATATAATTATTACGAATGGTAATTTTAGGTTCTGTTTTAATATTTCTATATCGCTCTACAATTGACATATTGAACACGATATTAACAGTGAAAATATTTTATTATTGTATCATGAAAACAGGATTCAACATTGTCTTTCATAAACCTGTATTAAACTAAGCCCACTACACTTCATTTTGGGGGCATGGAAATGTGATTGGTGCTATTTGTATTGGAACAATCAAATCGGTAGAATGGAAGGAGGTCATATAAACAAAATACAACATCGCTTTACTGCCACCCGTTTGAAGAGACAAGAACACATTCTTTCCAAGTAAATATTCTTTACCAAAAAACTTCCTCGATTCTGTACTGTCCATATTAATCAAAATATGTTTCCAAACAAAGCATAATAATGAGTGATTTGTTCTGATTGGCTGAAATTTTACCACTAAGACAGCAGGGGCCATTTTGATTGGACAATATTTAGATATGAATACTTAATTTTTGTCACTTGTATTATAATGGTCACGAGGAAGTATGACGACATAATGATACTTAAATATACTATTGAGTTGAACAAAGATTAATTGTTGAAATCTTATCAATATGTATCACATAAAAATAATCACTTACATAAGGTAATGCAGATAGGACAGCATATACATAAAAATCTGATCGCACCTAAAAAAGACAAAATCATATTTGCATGTAACTTAAGATTACCACAAATATTTTAATTAATCAGACACCAAGTGTGGATTCCAATGATCACTATTATTGTGTCTTTTCACAACCAAACACTATCTAAACACCCCTAAATGACCCCTTACTACCAGGAAAACATGCAGGAGAGCATATGTTAACCCTTTCAACCCTAGTGGTCGGTTTACAGGCCATACACTAACGCAATATATACCCGAGTAGCCAGTATACCGGCCGTTACTAAATGCCGTCATACAATGTCAACGTCATACAATTTAAAAAAAAAATTCAACGAGAGGGGCCCCAAGCCACGTTAGTCTACGGCTCCCAACTCATCTAGTTCAGCAACTGCCATCAACTAAAAATTCAATGTCAACGTCATACACTTTTACTTTTATTACTTGGAGCTCAGAGTATATGACTTTATATTTCATTTACTCTCAGGGTTCAAAGGGTTAAAAACAAATTTCAAGGAGAGGGGCCCCAATCCACTTAAGTCTACATCTAGTTCAGCAACTGCCATCAACTTAAAATTCTACTTATTACTTTTCCAAAATAGAAAAAAAAAAACAACAAACCCAATAAGTAGAATTTTTAACCATACCTGAGGTATATTATCTTCTAATGTAACTTCTATCAAATTATCAAACATCTGTAGAACTGACCCAGCTACTAATACATGACAATTGACTAGATCAGCTATAAATCTTACCTAAAGATATGATAAAGTACATGAAAATCTTGAGAACAACCAGAAAAAAACTCCCCTTATTGTCTGACTACGTTGAGCTTGGAATTGAATTTTTTCTCTCATTTCATAAATATTCAAAATAAAATTTTCAACTTTATGCCATGTGTTTAGAATGTTTTTGGGTTCTTAGAAATATATGGTTCAGTGATTTTACAACTGAAATAGAAAATGACCTTCTTTCAGGACTGAAAATTTCCCTCTGTAAGATCATGTTTACAAAAGATAACTTTTTCAGTGGTTGACATTTTCATCAACCCAAAGACATTCAAAAACTCTCAGTAGTCACTAGTATTTTGATATTTCAGTTCATAGGAAAATGATTGTCAAAATTCAATTCAAAAAAACATCAGATCACATATGTTGTATGAAATAGAATACTGGTAAATAGATTGAAAACCAATCAATAAAAAAAATCAATAAAAGTCTATGCCATTGACAAAAACTGTACTATTGCTTTCCAAAGCCCTACTTTACAAAGGATATTCACAATGTTTTTAGTGGTAAGGACAAGTTTGAACATGAAATATTATTACAAAAACATTGCATTAACAATTTGACTTTTAAAAACATACAGTCATACGAGCATCTTCAAATTTCCCAGTCTTCAGATAGTCTTTTAAGTTTCGTACTATTAGTTCTGTAAACTAAAAAAAGAAAATCATTGAGATAAACTACGTTAAGAGAAAACACAACGCAGATTTAAAATAAAATTCATCAAACAATTTAAAAAACACCAGCTGAAACTGTGCAATCACTTTTCATTAAGTTAGATTTCCTTTCATTCTTACACGAAGCTTGTGATAGGTCAAAAAATGTGTTCCTCTGCAGATTTCCCCTAGATAGGTAACAGTCTGGGCTATCCCTACCTATAGTCAGTGGACTTCACTCAGACTGTGATCAACCTAAGGCCATTAAATTAACACCACCTAGTCAATGTGTAACCAATAGTATTAAAGTACCGTTAAATTAAAAGGTACTGGTACTTATTGTTCTTACCTCTCCCCCACAGTTATAATTTTTTGCATTCAATAAGCCAACTAATGTAGTGTAAACAGTTATCTTTTCTGGTAAATATATCACACTGAAAAAAAAAAAAAAAAAAAAAAGTAAAAGATGATGGTTAAAAATCATAGGTATATTGTACAGATGACTGTATAAAACAGCCTGTGGTAAAATGAAAAATACATAATTTCAAAATCAAAAATATAAATTTAGAAGTATTTTATAGAAAATTAGTTGAAAACTAGTCTGTGCCATTCGGAATCATGATCAAAGGTTGTTTGGTTGGTAGATGACAAGTTAACGTTCGCTTCCAGTGGATGCTGATATTGCAAACTAGGTAGTTGTTGGTAGTCGTAGTAGTTGAAATGGTTCAAATTGGAGACTGTGCTGTTGGTTTGGTTGTTGATTCTTCAATAGATCTGGTCAGGTCGAATGACATGGCCATGAAACTCGGCCCGTGATGGTGTGGCGTGAGTTACTCGATCTCCTTCATTCTTCCAAACTCGTTCATGATCAATGACACAATTGCTAATTCTATACATGACATGGACAAATGCATCGGAAAAAACATGACAAGAAAAGTTTATGGTTTCCAATAATGACTGCAATGTAAGATAATAATCACAAAAATCTAAATTGATTGTAATAATTAATCTAATAAGACATCATAACTTACCAATCACATAGAATCTTAATAATCTTATCTTTATAGTTAGGTAAATCAGCTTCCAATACACTAGCTAATCCTTCTAAATTACTTTCCAATGATGATGTACTCTGTAATACACAATAACACAAAAAAAATGAACTACAAGCTTTAATTGAATGCAGAAAACGACTGATGTTTCTTTTCAAAAGGGCCATGGCTATGCTTACTTTTCATTACGAAATAGTTACTAATATACTTATTGATATATTTCCTCATGTCAAAAGTTCATTAGCTGCTACTAATGTTTCGCCAATATGTTGTTAGGATTTCAGGTTTTGTTTAGTTTGTACCGGTACTTGGTTTATTTATTTCAATAAATGTGTACAAGTCAAAAAATTATTTTTGAGTTCAGAATCTGAGAATGGCAATAAAAGCCATGGATCTTGAGTGTAAAAAGCTCCAAAATAAATTTTGCTTAAACAAGACACAACTACTGTTTTGCCAATAATACTCACTTTTTCACCGACTCTTGTTATAAGAGAATCTAATCTATCTTCAATGTTTACATCATCTGAAGTTCTTCTTCTTTTATGCCGGCTAGCTAGAATTCAAGTAACAAAACCATGGACATTTACAACCAGGTATTGAAAACATAGATCTATATAATATAATGTCAATTAACACTCTTTCTTTCTGATGGAATTCTGTATACTCTTGCTTGTCATGAAATTCAGAATTGCATTTTCCCCAGGATTTCACAAATTTTCAAGATAATGGGAAGGGTTACGAAATTGTGGAAGAAGACAGCAAATCAGTCAAGGTTTGTGATCTCATGACTTTATCTTTATTGCAATAGTCTTGAAACTATCAGATTCTTAAACTTAAAAAAATAACAGCAGTGTGCGTCAGTGTGAAATGTGAAGATGTGTGCCATTGCCATTCGAATGCCGAATGAAAATGCTACACAGCTATCCTAACTGAAAACATCACTCTGAGATTTCAAACTTACAATCATCTTCATCATCACTGTAAGATTCTCTTCGACGCCTTGACATTTTCAGATTTTCTACTGCAAAACAGTGAAAGGGAATATAGCAAAGTTTATTATGTTGTGTGCCTTTTCATCAACCGCTTTCCTTCAACAATCCGGAAGTTCGATTAAGGTGCACGTCGAGTCATATCGACAAATATATGACCAAATCGGACTGCTTTCATTTAAGTCAAATCGGCTTTAATACAAGGAGTACACAATCCAAGTTCGTTCCTGAAGACATGGCAAAAGTGTTCAGATTAATTCTATCGTATATTTTTTTAATTAAACCATGTCATTTCGTCTTATTAATTTATTGATTGATAAAATTATATTATGATGTGATGTGTGTGTATCAAGACTAAGAGTGTAGGTAAAAACGGAAATGACTAATTCGTAAGGAGTGGAAAATTCAGTCCCAATAATTGACTTATTTGTGTGTAATTAGTACTGTTAAATGTAATTTTTTGTTAGCTTTCTTTGGCAAGAGAGGCGAGTTCTCTTTAGTAGGAAGAAAGTGAAAAAGATTATGCACCTTGTAATCGTACTTACTAGTAGTCAGCCGTTAGAGCCAGAAAAAATGCAAAATTATTCTACCTTTATTGCCAAAATCGTGTTAGATGTATTCTCCGCCTTCCTAGATTAGAAAATTTTCCAGGGTATTATTCCCTAAATTAGATGTGGAAAGTCTACAACAGTACCAGCAAGAGTGGAAAGTCATCAAAATATTGTTCTTCTGGGTACTAGAAGTAGATGTTACAAGTCATAACATCTGAATAGACATCAGAATGTAAGATGAAGCATGAACCCAAAAATGTGCAATGACATGCAAGTCTGTGTTCCACAAAATGGTAATTGTGTAGCAGTTGATCTATTTGTAAGAATACACATATGGATGAGAATGATTTTAATATTGTGTTTTATAAAAATGATACATACAATAAAAAATGGTATTGACAATGACAAATAACTATTTTTTTACAAACAACACAAAAATCATGCACCAAATCAGAAATACATGTAATACAAGTTTCCTCTTTTTCACAATTATTCAGTCAACAAAACATTCTTGCAATACTTCCACATTCATACCTCTTATTTACATTCCCATATGTAATTCAAGGGACAAACCCTGACAAAAAAAAATATATTCAACATGATTGCAAATAGGGTCATACAGAAATAATAGTAATTAATTTTTGTCTACAGATGAATTAAACAGAATATAAGCTATAGCTCATAATTTATCTTAAACAGAACATTAATAAACTCAAATTCGTTCCGATCTACAGATATCAGGATTTATCCTAAAAATTAAACTTTGTTAATATTTTGACATAATATAATATAAAGCTGCAGTCAACATATTTTCATACCGAAAAAAAAAAATTGGCTTGTTAGTGCCTTACTTTTCAATAAAACTAAGCACACCACAAGCTTTATGTGAGATAACTACATGTTCTCTGATCATTTCTTATTTCATGATTGCAAATTTATCAGTTTGAAAATGAACAAAATGATCTTTTTTTATCAGTAGTTTATGAAACCATTTAAAACTTAAGTGAAATTAGAATTTTAGATTGAATCTATAAAAAAAAAATAAACAATTCATTTTGTACACAAGTTGACAGTTCTATAAACAATTCACCTTCAAACAAAATACAAAGATCTAGAAAATCTAGCAATATATTTATGTGCTATTCATATTATTTAAATACAACTTTGAGACATTGATGTCAATAATGGAAGCAATGATAACACAATGAAAACCAAGAAAAGGCTAAGGCATTATGAAGTATGAAAGAAAATAAATAAAAATTTGTGGCAAAACTATTCATAAAATGTATTACAACAAATTTTCCTTAGTAAGTGTTAGAAGTCAAGTACTTGTTTTTGTAAGCCATATGAGAAAGAATATAGGAATCAACTATAACATGAACTGGAATATTTGTCTGTTGTAATAGTAAAATAATTAGCAAAGTCAGAAAATAGTGCCATGCCATCACGGCTACTATAGATCAAAATAGTCTTTACAGTGCTTTGAAGTCAAATGAGTTGTGGTGCCAATGTCTACCTACAGTAGAGAATTTATTGGAAATAAGTAAATTTGCTCAGAGTGCTACTATTAAAAAAGGTTTTAACATACTTTGAGATAACTACTTCTAACAAATAAAATTAAATCAGATGTCGAAGGCTGAGATGTTTACAAAAGATTATAGCAACATTAAAACATACAAAAATCATGTTATGTAATCAATTATGAATGAGAAAAATTTTCAAATCAGTTCACTTGAATGTAAACAAAATGTTCATGCCAAAGTGTCTTTTTCATGAATGAACATTGTTTCAACTGTGACAGCTTGAATAGTTGGATGTTCACACTTTCCACACAGATTTTTTACAGCTTTTCATTAACTGTGAACAATGTCATACAAACAAGATGTTCGCTTACACAGGTGAATGAGCACTACAGTGATCAAAGAATTTAATTATAGGAAAAAAATATTAATGAGGTATAGCATAGCACTAAATTAAATTACTACAAAATATGAAAATGATACCCTTAATAAAATGGATGAATTTTTAATTTGGAAAAAAAAGTATTAAAATAATGATTAGTTTAAAACAATTTGATTATGAACATGATTATTTAAAGAAATTATGAAAGCACACATTGAATCTAAAACCCTCGATAATTATTAGCTATCATTGTTTTTAGCCAATAAAACAGTGTGTTGTCCCCCACCAGAAACTTTTAAACATTTCCGTGACTGTAACTGTTTGCCTTCCATTTTCTGCGGAACAAACAAATCATCTTCTGAACCATTACCAAGTTGTTTGGATGTACCCATTCCCCAAGCATACACATCACCTTGATCATCTACAGCAAATGAAGCACAGCCTCCAGCATCAATGTAATTACAATTTTTAGAGTCTAGGGCAGTTATTCTCGTGGGACTAAACTTTTCTCCACAATTTTCACCTAGTCCTAATCGTCCATAATCTGATCTGCCTAAACTATACACTTTACCATTACTGTCTAGAGCAATGGTATGATGCTGTCCCCCACTTATCATTGTCCATTTACCTTCTTCTCTACAGAATGATTTTATTCTCTGTGGGTGGAATTTATTTTCCATATCTTCAAATCCTAACTGATAATAATTGTTTAAGCCCCAGCCATAAATTTCTCCAGTTTCTTCTTCTTCAGCAAATGTAACATACTGACCAGTCCAAACGTCTGAAAATTTTGCCAATCTACGAGTTCTATACTTTTTGCAACGCACCACTCTGGGATTTAGTAAATACTCTATACCCTTCCGACCACCTCTATTAGTAAAACATTCTGCAAGTCTTCCTAGCTGACCCTGCTCTGCACACCCTGATGTGTACAATAAGCCTTGTTCTGTTAAACAAACCAAATGATCAACACCTGATGCTATTTTTACAACTCTTTCTTCAGAAAACATCAAAATGGGGAACTTTTCAATGCCACTTTTTGTTAAACCAATTGAACCATTAGCATCTCTAAAATTCCCCCAGGCATAAACCTCACCATATTCTGTTAAAGCTGCCGTGTGACTATCACCAGCAGAAATCTGAACTATTCTGTGTGGAAGTTCTACTTTTCCAGGTTCAGTTTCTGAGCCTTCAACAGAAGTGTCTCTGCCCAAGCCACCTTCATCATTACAACCAAAGCTATAGATTTCACCTTTATCAGTTAGACATACTGTGTGCATTCCTCCAGCAACCACTTGTATAATTGTGTCAGGAATATCAACAAGACCAGGGCGGCTCTTTTCCATTACATCTTCTCCTAGACCAAGCTGTCCAACATCACCTTCCCCAAGTGTCAATACAACTCCAACATCTTTCGGAGAACTGTGGGACCGGTGTTCAACTTTTACTAGTGGAGGGACATCCTCCATAGGCTCCTCCTTCCGGGATGCTTTTGCTTCTTTCTTAGATGCAGACCCATTCTCTTTGATGATCTCCTTGCTCGTCGAAGTTCCATTTACTTTACTAGACTTTTTACCATTCTCAACCTTTTCAATCTCCTTCGTTACTTTCCCATTTTTAGCGCTCTTCCCTGTTTTAGATTTCTTTTCTGGGGTACTGGGTGAATCTTCCGCATCCTCTAAAACTCTCTTTCTTCCTCTGGCAGGCATGTTAAGCAATATAAGTTAGTTTTAAGGTTCTTGAAGAAAAAATTTACTCCTTAACCTTAATGCGTTACTTTTTTGCCGCCCGCTCACGTTTTAGAAACAATTAAAGCGCATGTCAAGAATGTTTGCTTCCGCTTCCGCAATCTCTCTTGGTGACCTCCCTTGACAACATTATTGGAGCCACTTCGACTTGTTCTTAGTTGTTATAGAGGGTTTTGTAAGTTTGTAACCAAAAGGTTTCAACTAATTGAGTCTAGTCTAAGCAGGCAGAATTTTGGGACTAGTATGTTTGATACAATTTATATTGTTTAGCCTTTGAGGTTTCAACTTGGACATGAGTCAGGTCTATGACGAAGATCTAAAAATAGATATTATATTACTATTAATAGTTTGATGACGTATGTAGACTTTTCTAGAAAGAACTTAACCAATCGATGCACTACCTTTTTGTCACATGACATCTGGTATAAAATTAACGGTAACAGCTATTTACATCATTATTCTACAGTGATCTTAGCATCAAAACACGTAGTCAAGTAAGTAAAATAATCTATTTCGTTCGTTGATAAATTGTGATTTTTTTTCGGTAAGGAAGTGCCATAGTTGAAATCCTATCGAGAAGAGTTAGAAAGAAGTATATTACATTGGGCTTATAGACCTAATAATGGTATATTTCTATATTAATTTTCGATGTCAAAAAATGAAAAACAAAATGGCGTCAATGGATTTTTGACGCGTAATTAAGTATTAAATAGTTTCATATCATACGGATTAAGGTATGTGGACCCGTATCTAGATAGTAAATCTTTCTTTTTCAGAATGCAGATCTTCGTCAAGACATTGACTGGTAAAACCATCACCTTAGAGGTAGAACCAGCTGATACCATTGAAAATGTTAAAACTAAAATTCAAGACAAAGAAGGTATTCCCCCAGACCAACAAAGATTGATCTTTGCTGGTAAACAATTGGAAGATGGTAGAACACTTTCAGACTACAACATCCAAAAAGAATCCACTCTCCATCTTGTATTAAGATTACGAGGAGGTATGCAGATCTTCGTCAAGACTTTGACTGGTAAAACCATCACCCTTGAAGTTGAACCAGCTGATACCATTGAAAATGTCAAAGCTAAAATTCAAGATAAAGAAGGTATTCCCCCAGATCAACAACGATTGATCTTTGCTGGTAAACAATTGGAAGATGGTAGAACACTATCAGACTACAACATCCAAAAAGAATCCACTCTCCATCTGGTATTAAGATTACGAGGAGGTATGCAGATCTTCGTCAAGACACTGACTGGTAAAACCATCACTCTGGAAGTTGAACCAGCTGATACCATTGAAAATGTCAAAGCTAAAATTCAAGATAAAGAAGGTATTCCCCCAGACCAACAAAGATTGATCTTTGCTGGTAAACAATTGGAAGATGGTAGAACGCTTTCAGACTACAACATCCAAAAAGAATCAACTCTCCATCTTGTATTAAGATTACGAGGAGGTATGCAGATCTTCGTCAAGACTTTGACTGGTAAAACCATCACCCTTGAAGTTGAACCAGCTGATACCATTGAAAATGTCAAAGCTAAAATTCAAGATAAAGAAGGTATTCCCCCAGACCAACAAAGATTGATCTTTGCTGGTAAACAATTGGAAGATGGTAGAACACTATCAGACTACAACATCCAAAAAGAATCCACTCTCCATCTGGTATTAAGATTACGAGGAGGTATGCAGATCTTCGTCAAGACTTTGACTGGTAAAACCATCACCCTTGAAGTTGAACCAGCTGATACCATTGAAAATGTCAAAGCTAAAATTCAAGATAAAGAAGGTATTCCCCCAGACCAACAAAGATTGATCTTTGCTGGTAAACAATTGGAAGATGGTAGAACACTATCAGACTACAACATCCAAAAAGAATCCACTCTCCATCTTGTATTAAGATTACGAGGAGGCCAGTAAAATCATGTACTGATTTGTTTTTAATCTTGAAATTTAAATTATTGAAATTACAATAATAAATGTTTTATTTGTATCCTCATTGTTATTAAAGTACGACCTGCAAACAAAAATATTGCACTGTGAAAATAGTAGGCCTAATGATATTAGAAAGCAATAGAAATGTGGAGATGTGTGAGATTAAGAGGCCAGTAAAATTATGTACTGATTTTTTAATCTTGAAATTTAAATTATTGCCTGAAATGACTATAATAAATGTTTATTTGTATCCTCATTGTTATTAAAATACGACCTGCAAACACAAATTTTGCACTGTGAAAATGGTAGGCCTAATGATATTAGAAAGCGATAGAATAGCCTTCCGAGACCGAGAGAGCAAATAGGGAGCAGGGAGATTTAAAGGACAACTGTCACAAGGGTTCCCTTCACCTTTACAATGTCGAACTATAACGCACTTTGTACTTATATCTTGACTGCAATAGGGAAATGAAATGGAAATGAATGGAGTTTTACGTCCTACTTTTCTGCACCATGTGGGCTAATGAAGACGGGCAACGCCACGCAGGGTGCAATGAGGGAAATTTTGCCAGGACAGCGGCATTAGCCTACTCTTTTTCGATTTCCAACTGTCGAGGGATCTTTACCTGCACAGCCTGTGGCATACGGGGCCTCGGTTTACTGTCCCATCCGAACGACTAGACGCTTTTCCATGTCAGCCCCTCTCACCTGCATCACTGACAGGGGGAAACCGGGTTGAAAAATCCGAAGGTATTATCTCGACCTATGCCGGGATTGAACCCTGGACCTTCAGGTTAGCGAGCAAGCGTCTAACTCACTGAGCCACCGCGGCTCCCTGTATCAGGGAAACATCAATCTGATTGTTTGTCTGCCTGCAAATATAGCGCACATTGAAATTAAATCGCTTCATTTACAAACTTCCTTGATACAAGAAAGGTGACTTGCATCAATGTATAGTACGTAGTTCGTAATAAATTACCATTGTGAAGATCTTTTAAATGCATAGGATCCATCGTATCTTGTCCCAGTAACGGGATTCCTTTCAGCTAAGCAGTAATGGTGTTCACAGCTGATCCGTCCAAATCGACGAGTCGTCCGTCTTCTTGAGACTAGTAACTATATAGACAAAATTTATAAAAGAAGAAAGTGAAATGCCTAGATCGAAGTATTTTTGAAGGAATTATGCGATTTTTGTTCATTTTCAATAATAGCCTAGTGCTGAAGACAATTTACATATTATATTCAAGACCCAAACCAACCCCCGCAAACGATAAATCTGTCAGGCTTTAAATCAGCTTTAATGTGGGCATAAAACTGAAGCCTATTTATACAGTTCTTTGATGTGGGGCAAAGTTTTCGCGTCATAATGTTATCCGAGATGCTCACACCACAGGGTGGGAATTAAAGCCCAACTACCATTAACAGGAAATAATAATTACGTTACATATTGTATTGTTCATTTCATACTACGAAACGAAACTGTTTTCGAAAGTGCTGTCGAATTTTCTCGATAGATCATATCAATAAGGCTACTACTTCAATAAGCCAAATTTCCAAATTACAACACTTTGTTTAGTTGACCAATAAAACATCAGACTACACATCTATAAGTGAATTCTTGACACAATATGTATATATATATATTCATTCGAAAGAGATCTTTGATTTGAAATAATAAATAACTCCTCATCTTATACATTATCAATATTCAGATTTAATCAAAATTTACTGGAATATAAGCTTTTGTTAACTATTAAATCTTGAAATGCATGCACGAAACATACTGCAGTCAAGCAGGCACTTTTCATATGACGTTATCTTTTATTTATTTATTTTTAGCACGTACGGATGTGAAAGGGCTTTTAGCTATTTGCCATGCGTGGTAAATATCTCCTGCCACTACGGCCTACATGATCTGATCAGTGATACCCTTCAATTTATTTTATAACCTGTGGCCATTTCAGGGGCGTATCCAGAAAATGTTTGAGGAGGGGGGCAAAACTAAGAGGTGTCTCCGAAGCTAGGCCCCTTTGCCTTGAGCCAACGAACTTCAGATGGCTTAAGGTGAGAGGGCTTAATAATTTTCACTTCAATCAAAGGCCTACATTCTACATAATACTACATTGCTACGCTACATTTTTCAGTCCAGTCTAGATCTATAAGATGGTATTGGAAAGATGGTAGATCTTCAATTGAGGATATATTTATTTCATGACATTATCAGCATTTACACATTATCCAACGAGTTTCAGAGTTTTGAGCATTTCGTTTAGAGTGCTTAAATTTCGCTTCAAAATAAGACAGCGCGCGTTCACTGACAGGCCTGAGAAATACATTACTGACTATAGATAGCTAGCATAGTTTGAAGACTGTGTTGTCTATATTTTTGCTAAAACGGTTGACCATAATATTTGTACGAAACTTTGGCTGTCTATAAAATTTCCATTCAAATTATTCCAGGTCATGCGCAATGAGAATTCTTAACGGATGATGTCAATGTTTGGAATGAAAAACGATAAAAATTATTGAAATTCGAACCCGAAATTATAAGTTTCTACAAGTTTATGTTAGTTATTAGAAATGGCTGATGACGGAGGAATGAGCATCGGCGTCAATGTCGATATACAACGTACAGATGGTAAGTAAACCAATGGACACTTCGTCTGCAGCTCACCGACCAAGTCAACCTGACACAAAAATGTAAACAGGTTGCCAATATAAATAAACACAATCAAATATAATGTTTTATGGAAAAACTCTAATGATTATTTTTTCAAGATTTAGAATAATGGCTTTCAATTCTTGTGATAATTAGGGACTTGCCATACATCAATAAATATGGAGCCAAGGCAAGAAAATAGCTGGACTGCCACTTTTCATTTTGACAGTTTTTTATTTTAGTCTTGAATCTTGATTGAGACCTATCTAGAATTAAAGTGAATCACTGTGCTTGTGAATCACTAAATGTTCAGAAGTCTTGTGTGATACTAAAAATATGAATTCTGATAACATCCCTAATGGTGATGTCATATTAAGGCCTACCGGTACCGTACTCAGTATTTAAACTCCAGTTTCCATAGAAAATGTAACTTACCAGTTGGAACTATTTATGTGCATGCACATTCCCTTCTTCTACCTTGGGATAAACAATGTTCATGACCAGCGATGAAAAAGGATATAATATAAAGGGTTAACTACATTGACAGTTATTCATTTATCATTTCAAAGGTTAAAGCATTGTAAACCCTTTCTATAAGATCCTTTTCCATAGATTGCCATGTTAAATCAACGTTGTCTTGTGCTGCCATTACTAGTATTCCACACCATTCACAAACTTTGGTTCTCTCTGAATTTCTTTCTTGTATTGTAGGAAGGGTACACTCTGCTGTTATCAGTGGTGTGAATATGGAAACCAAAAGTGTAACCGTGGAATGGTTTGAAAAGGGTGAAACTAAAGGCAAGGAGGTAAGAAAGCAAACAGTTCATCTGTTTTTAGTGTTTTGGGGATAATTTAATTCAAACTTGTAGGTTTATGGTTGATGTTTTATGCAATATTAACAAAACCAGTTACATTTTTAACTAACAATTCTTGGTGCCGGTACCAACTTTTTATTTCTTTAATTTGAAAATACCTGAACTAAACAACACTTAGAAATTTATAGCCTAATTTCAAGACCTGGGCCAGTGGTTTGTATGGAAAGTTTCTTATCATATCACTGTAATATCAGTGGTCAACAACAGTGTGTAAGATGCTTGTACGCTTTCTTGTCAGGCGACAGTCCGTCATTTGGCATTGGTTGAAAAAGTTGATGACATCATTTCCAATTTTATCAGTTTTATTGTAGCATTATAATTATGACCATGAACATGATATAAGCTTATTTTTAGGAAATTCCTTGTGGCATAACTTCTTTTTAAATATTCAGCACTTGTTTGCTGAATCTGTTCATTTTTGAGAAAAAAATGTTATCATATGTAACCTTTATCTTATGTTTGGAAAATTAAACTTTTGTGGGACACCTTCCTTTCAAAATATTCTATCACTGCACTTGAAGTCATTATGGCAGTACCAGAACATTGCATCTAAAGTATATGGTATAAGGTTACTAGTTGCACGATTTGTATTTTCTTGTGTTTGAATATTGAATTTGTTTCTTTGTTTAGATTGAAATGGATGCCATATTAAGTCTTAATCCTCATGTTACGGAGCCTTCATCTTTTAAAAATAACAACAGAATATCACAGTCTGCCAAGGTAAGATAGATACACTGTCATTTGTGTTTATTTATTGTACTTGCCCATATGCACACCTCCAACTCAGCGTATCAGAAAGGTATGAAGTGTAGGTTATTGTGGTAGTCTATATAGTACATACCATGAATAAAATGATTGACAACCTTGAACTTATTATGGCATTGATCATGTTTCCATATTATCCAATGGATTAAAAGCTCGTGCAAGTCATGATTTTTAAAATAAAAAGTATAATTATAATTCTTATTTGGAATCAACAACACTGTTCTTTTACTTTTTGAAAAATAATTTGGGTTGTAAAAGACTAAGCTGGGCAGATGGATGACGATTCAAGTTCATACAGTAGATTAGCTGTACAAGGATATAGAGAAAACATTCTAAAAGTTTTTTTTTGTGCCTTTTTCTGTTAAGAAACATTTGAACAAGATTAATAAAGAAAGAAATACACTTTGAATGTCATATAGTATACAACTTTTAAACTTGGTTATGACCTGACTAACATTCAGAATTATTTGATTTCCATTTTGTTAAGTATAATTTCTCCTAAAGACTTGGTTAATAAGGTATCAGAACTCATTTGATTGTCTTTTTATGTCTTTTGTTTTTTCCCCAATAGAAAATTGTCTAAAAAAAGGATGAATAAGAATGAAAGCTTAATCAGTACAGAATTTAATTTCCATGTGCATAATTTAGTTAAAAGAATGTTTGCTTTCTGCTTCAATCATCTTTAT